AGCTTTTAGTTGCCATTTGCCAAAGGTTTGCACAGCACATGAAAGTCCAGGGCCCATTCCTATTTTAAACATCTAGATGCTACTGGAATAGAAACGCTAAATAAGAAGTTATATGGGGTAATGCTGCCCCTACAATAAAATCACGGGTAACATTCCTTCTTTGGGGTCCTGCTTTACTGTGCTAACATTACTTAAGGCTTACAAGTCCTCCAAACAGGTTTCTTTCACTGCTCGGGACCTTAGGTACTGCACAAAAACATACTTCTTATGCTTTCCATGCTAAAAACCTTTTAAAGTATGAAAATATTCCATTACTGTAGAGTTGTGCCAATATAACATAGCTCTGTATTGTGAATTGCTACCTCTTACACTTAAGCAATTACTACATTGAAATATGTACCCATTAGCCTAAGAGTGGGCATAGTCTAGAAATGCAGATAATCTTTGGTATAATAAAGTATCTTCATTAAGGGAAAGCTGCCCAAGCAGCTGGCGTGTAGCAGTCACAGCTGCCAGGCCAAATCCTGCCTCAGGATGACACAAGCAGTGCCATTGATTTAATGGAACTTGTTTGTGTGGATTACAGTTACTGGGCTTGGTTCTGGGCAGAAAATCTCAATTTATTTTCAGAAAACAACACCCAAGATTTCTCCCTACCACCTTTTAAGCAGGAACGTTTATCCCAAGTGCTTCGAAGAGGGAAAGCTAGTTTGTAAAGTTTGCAGTATTTTGCAATGTACATGTTGTTCCAGTGTCCCTATTTAATAATTTCTTAAAGCTATCTCTGAGGTAGCACTTCATATATTTTTCTAAATCGATGAAACATGATAGAAACACCAGCTGTCTTGTTCACGTATCTGTACAAAACCGCTGATCCGTGAAAGTATATTAATCAATATCAGAAGCAAACATTTAATGTTTTCCAACTCTAACACTATATTGATGAGCTTTTACCAGGGAGGGGTCCAAGTTTAAGCCATGACTAATTCTGGCTCCAGGGAATGTGTATTTGTGTGATTTCAGCCCAGTTTTATCTTTTGCTCAGCAAAAAAGACCAGGCTAACTGGCTGGAGTTTGGATAGCCACTCAAACTAAGTATCCCAATGATTCTTAAAGTGACTTTTTTATTTCAGGTAGTCGGGAATCTGCTTTTGTACATGCCATCTCCTCCGCCGGGGTTGTTTTTGCCATCACCAGGGCATGCAGCCAAGGGGAGCTGAAATCCTGCTCCTGCGATCCCAAGAAGAAAGGCTCTGCCAAGGACAGCAAGGGCCATTTTGACTGGGGTGGCTGCAGCGATAACATCGACTACGGCGTTAAGTTTGCCAGAGCCTTCGTGGATGCCAAAGAACGGAAAGGAAAAGACGCAAGGGCGCTGATGAACCTTCACAACAACAGAGCTGGAAGGAAGGTGGGTGTCCATCCCCCAGATGCCTGGAGATGTTCTCAGTGAGCTCTTGTGGGTCTGGGGCGGGCCACGGCTGGCCCTGGCTGACTGGCCTCAGCGGTTAGGAAGAAGTATGGGTTGAGCAGGAGCCTGAGATGCTGTTTCTGTCTCTCTTGGAGGTTTGGTGTGGCAGGGATCTCCGAACAGACTTTGCCTCTGCTTAACAGTGCTGCCGTCTGAGTCAGTTCGGTGGCTCCTTCTGTGGGACAAGCCCAAGTCGTTGCAGGGTCAGTTTGGATGGAGGTTTTGATTTGAGCCTAATCCTTATGCATGGAGGAGTTTTTCTTTTGGTTAATGTAGAATAGAAATTCCTAAGGGAAGCTGAAGACCACACTGAAGAACAGGCTTGACTATTAAAGAGCAAAATAGCATTGGAGAAGAACCCTGTCCTGTCTATTCCTGTATGTATACAGTAATCCTAAAAACAAAATGAGAAGAGATAAAATACAATTACTTCACTTTTTAAAAAAACAGATCCGAAATACGTGTCCCTCCAAAAGGCATTGGCCTTGGGGCATGACATGCTCCTAACAAACCCCTTTTCTAAACATTGTATGAAAAGACCGTTCCTGAATTTCAACAAAAGGAGCCTTTACTTTTTTATTGTGGCTGAGTAGAAGGAGTAGTTGCCGAGCGTATTGCCCAACACTGGTGCAAGGGCTGAGGAACACATGAACTAATGTTTTGTACTGGTAGCTATAAATACTAAGAATAGTAGATGAGACTGGAATACGCTGTTTTGCTATTCAAAGCGTATTCAAAATTTGCTGCATACCTGACACCTGAAATAATACAGAAAAATATTTTATAGTGCCTAGACCAAGGGCTTCTGAATTGATTCGTAGAGACTTCTGTTTTCTTGTCTTTGGTTTTCCTTAACGTATATTCAGTAGGAAGTAAATTGTTCATATTCTGATCTTTTTGTATTAAAAAGTTCCCTTTATAAACTGTAAAATTTACTGACTAGCCCTTATTAGAAGAAAAGATCCAATTTTAGTGAATTGTACTGCAAGTAGCTGATTTTTCTGATAAATATTTCTCCTTCAACATCTTTCCTCCACCTGTTTATTACCAGTATAGACAGATGAGGCGATTCAGATCAGTGATACGGATATGCAATACTATGGCTGTGTTTATGTTACTGACCAAAGAGACTGCAGTCTATAACACAAGCAAAGATTTTATAGGGGTGAGTTAGCTCCGTGCTGGGTGGTACCTTCTCTAACGGTCAAGTGTCTTAGTAAGTTTAAAAAAATACATATGCTAAATAGTAAGACGGTATTGGTAAGCAGGCACGTCTTTTTTAGAAAAAGATCAAGAGACTTTAGTAAGTGTATTTGATTAAAAGCAATCAACACATTCTCATATGCTCTGGGACCTGCTTTATAGAAAGGGATGCTGGTTTGTAGCCACAGGGTGATACTGGAGGTTTAGCTTTGCAGGGACCTTACTGCCTCAGCCTGCCCACGAGCCTGGCATTTGGATCTGGGTAAGACCAGCTGTCCCCTTGGCTTTTTTTCACCCTCAAAAGGGATGTTGGTAGGTTTCTTTTAGAACTAGACTATTCAGATTTTACTGATTCAAAAATACATAGAATAAATGTTTATAATATTCCCATATGAATCATACAAAATAATGTGCTGTGTATCAGTATAGGAACATCACTGACAAAAAAAAAAAATCAAAAGTCCTGCATTCCTATGTGCTTTTTCACTATTCCAGCAAGTTGTTTTAAACATACAAGTAGTTAAACTGATTTCTACTCAGATAATTAAAACCAAGCATCTGCTTAAATCCCAGTTTTGTGATATACCATTGGCAATGAAGTAGGGCTGTGGGAATGTCAGTGACTTCTTTGAAGTAATCGTATCATTTACAAGTTGGAAAGAAAATGAAAAGTACTTTGGTTGTATAATACATTCTCGCTTTATTGCTAAGTGCTTGACTGAAAAATGCTGCCCCGCTGTGCGTCAGCCTCACTTCTAATCATGGAGTTTTCCTCTCTCTTACCTTCCTCCCATGATGCTGTTCCTCTTGTACAAACTCTAAAATGTTCATATTTCATGAACCCTTAAGGCGTAATATTTATAGATCAAATATCCATATCTTCAGAATTAGGAATGAATTATTTATTGTATATGAACCCATCTGTTGTTCTCCAGCATCATACGGATAGCTTAAATGTCTGAGATGAGGCTGAAATGACGTTAATGCTATCCAGACATTGAATTAATGATGAAGGTGATCTCTCCAGTGCAAGCTAATGAAGGTCTTATTTGAAAATGATTGTTAAAAGGTTTATAAGCATTCTAAAAATACCATGTTTTAGCGTTTTGCATGGATCTGACGCCTAGCTCAGGTACAATGCTTTGCATAGTCTCTGTAAAATAATTTAAATATGAAATGCCCATGAATTTCTGGGCAATATTTGAAACACTATCCAGGGCAAAGGGCAACTTCATGAAGGTGAGCTAGAGAGGGTCAGCATGGTGATGCTTCAGCTGGAATGATGGGGAAAGGGGGTACCTTTGCCTGCCAAGGCGAATTTCACAGTTCGTTTGCTCCCACCCAGTCTGTGTCCTGGCGCTATGGACCATCTCGGTCCTTGAGATGACTGGCAGGAGTGGGGAAGGTAAGCCCACCAGCCGGAGGATGGTGTGTAGAGTCAAGCAACCAGAGACCAACCATGTGGGGATGACTTGATGCTACCAGTGGGTGTCACTACAGACCGTGATTTGGAGACCCACTGCGAGCCTGACATTGCAGGATGACTGGAAAAGGGCTGAGAAGCATAAATTACAGTTTGTTTTACCTGTGTATATTTTACTGCGTTTCTAAACAGGCCGTGAAGCGGTTTTTGAAACAGGAGTGCAAATGTCACGGTGTGAGTGGATCATGCACTCTAAGGACCTGTTGGCTGGCCATGGCAGACTTTAGGAAAACAGGAGATTATCTGTGGAAGAAATACAATGGAGCGATTCAGGTGGTCATGAATCAAGATGGCACGGGTTTCACTGTGGCTAATAAGAAATTTAAGAAGCCAACTAAGAATGACCTGGTATACTTTGAAAGCTCTCCAGACTACTGTATCAGGGACAGGGATGTAGGTAAGCCTCTATTGTTACACATGAATGGTTTTATTTCAGACATTTGTGCTTTGAAGGTCAAAAATTATCATTATTATTGAGTGTGTGTATGTATATATATAAAAATCCATGCATGTCAGCAGCAGGAAACAGGCAGGAAGATGTTTTGGAAGGACAGCTCTGTACAAGAACAATAGCTCCTCGGTGTCCCTAGGTGTACAACAGCCAGTTGTTCTAATATAATTCAGCAGTTTCTTCTAGACGCCGTGGAGCCCTGGAGACGCTGCAAGGCAGAAGCTGCTTTTAGGACAAGTTTGTGTTAAGCTCTGGAGGCAGGTCTGTACTGTACACAGCCACATACACGCTTGTATCACACAGCTCGCTCCAGAGCTGCCAGATGTAACTGCAGCAGCCCCAAGTCCCGTGATGTCCCTATGATACCACCTCCTGCCACGTTGCTTCTCTACCATATGGTTATGCTACTGCTGCAGACTCCTAAGAGACCAGTGTCCTCCTTTACCTGTACGTGCCCCGCAGCTCACTGTGGATCGTGGACCCCCCAGGTGTAGATACACCTCTCCCCGTCGGTAACGTGGGAGGTATGGCAGCTTGGTGCACACCGTGCTCGCAGCAGTCAATGCAGCTGTGGGTAACGTGGAGCAAGGCAGCTGGAGGGCGTGCGGGTGGATGAACAGAATAGGGGTTGGTGGGGCACAGCACACTGCATCGAGTGACACAGCTGTTTATTCCTCTTTACGAGACAGCGTTGGCTCCGTCCGTGATAACCATCACATTTGCTGAAAAGTTGTGCCAGCCCCAGTGTGAAGAGGTGAAGTTTCAGGGCTGCTATTAACACTGAATTTTTACGCTTTCAGACATTCAGTAGAGACACACTTAGCAGTGTTACAGGACTCAAGGCACTGCCAAGCACCAAGAATCCTGCTAATGGTTCTTGAGTTGTGTATCGTGTTTCCTGATGTGGCAATTAAAAACTAGCAACTAGAAAACCAGAAATTTGGAAAAGAGAACCAGACTGAGTAATGTATGAAAGATGTTATGGAACTAATTAATAGGTTGTATAATGTACCAGATTGCACCCGGTATGACATATCTGTAAGTATCTGGATAGCAATGCAGCTCAGCACTTTTTGGCACTGCTGCGTATTTACAATCCAAGTTTACTTGGAATAAACATTGCAAAACAACGGTACTTAAATAAGAACAATATGTGAAATCCTGATCGTGTATTATTGACTTCAGTGAACCCAGAATTTCATCCAGTATGCTGATGTTGTACAGTGTTTCTGGTTAGCTGAGTAGTCAAGGTAATTTAGAATGTTACGGCTTTTGCAGGTGGTGCTTATTATCTGCATAAGCACATATTGTTCCTTGAATAGTGACCGATGCTGTAAAGTCTAATACTTTATCCAAGTGAATAAATGGGAGTATTGTGGCGTTGTGCAGAGAATAACTTTGCAGGATTTGTTCAAAACTTTATTTCTTGAAGTTGCCTCATTCATTGTAAACCCAGTCATTTCTTTCTTCCAAAAAGGAGGGCCCGTGCATGACACAATGCTGTGTCAAAAAGCTGTTTAATAATCAGTTTGTACTAAGCCTAATCTGATCTGTCAGTCTTGTTATTGTGGAAGAGAGTGGCATTTTTCACCGCAGTGTATTACGCGTGCTTGCCTGACGCTGTCAAGCCTGCCCAGAGATGGCAGAGTCTGATGCGTGCTTTGGCTCAGCTCAAGATAAGGCTGCAGATGAGGCGGTGTTTCTTTGCTGCCCAGAATTCAGAGAATGTGGCTGTTTGGAAGAGCACATTTTTGGCAAGCCGCAGTAAACCTTGAACAGGGTGCGGGATGGCCTGCTGCTCGCATGGAGCAAAGAAAGAATCAGATGAACAAAAACTCATCTGGCTTTGAGAGAGGGAATTTTGGCAGCTGAGCAGCGTGTTTTCTTTATTACCTTCAGTTTGCCCTGTTGAGCACTCCAGAGTGTCAGCCCTGTTAAATGACTGGGAATGAAATCACGTGATGGAAGTCTGAGTTTGGAAATAGGTGGGGAGCGTCTCAGCATCAGCTAAATCTTATAGCACCGCGCTTTAGTGTGTCCTTGAATACAGGGCTGCCTTTCATTCTCTGGGGAATTCAAGCAATATAGTGCTTCAGGGGAAAAAAAAAAAAGTCTCTCTGGAGATTGGTTAGTATTGGGACTGAATGAAAGATTCCCAGAACAAACCTTATGAAGCGTCACAACTTGACCAGGGGACAGCTTCACAAACTCTAAAACAACCAAGCCAGTGTCCTCTGTGGCTTGGGTGCGCTAACACATATGAACCAGTAAATTAAAGGTGCTCAAGGGTATCATCAGCGGCCTATCTGAAAAACCACATACCTCATCTTCTGCCATCGGAGCTTTTAGTGCTGGCTCTTCCCTCTAGTGGCGGGGGGGCGGGGGGGGTCTGGGGGAGCCAGCTGGACCTGCACATGGGTTACCCCCACAGCGTGAAAAATGTGGTATTACTATTTTTTTCCTAGAAGGAAAAGAGGAGTCATTGCTTTCGGGAGAGATAAAACATGTGGAAATCACTAATAGCAGCTCAACAGCACGAGAATCTAATAATCCAACCACCTCTTGTCTAGTATTAAGACTTCGTGACTTTTAGAAAAGGACCAAAAGAAGATTTTCAAAAATGTTCGGAATTCACTTAACTCTGCTCACATGGATGCTGAAATAATTTTTACTCACAATTTTGTACTCAATTTGATAAAAACAGAGGTAGGCCATCCCAGAGGACTTCTGAAAATCTTGTCATGAACTTACAAGTTTTGCCACACTCTGTATGGTCTTCCCTTATATTATCATACATTTCCAGCTCCCAAAACCGGTACAAGCATACCCAGGACTACACAGGGAATGATGAAGCTGCGAAGGGAACTGAAGTGATGACTACACAAGTGCCAGTCCCACTGTCACTCTGCTGTCTTACCCTGAATGTGTAACTTCACCTCCAAAATGCTCTAAAAACCCCTTCTTGTTTGTCTGCTTATACGCTTCTCTTAGAAGCGTTTTAAATTTTAGAAGATTGCTATTTGACCATCCGTGCAGGCTAGGTTGATTGAAAGCTGTTGCAAGTTTATCATGTTTTGTACGTACCAGTGGACAAGCAGAGACTGCTTCAGGATTAAATGTTTGAGCAGCTGTAGCATGGACATCACCAGCTTGCTGGCTGAGCCTTCATTACAGGCTGTTGTTCATACAGACTATTAAAGCCATGTAATGTCTTTCTGCAGAAAAAAAAACATTTTACAACAGGTTTATTAAACCGTAATTGGTACAGAGCAACCAAAAAACTCAGGTAGTGTTTGAGTGAAGCCTCTTCCTGCAGGGAGACCCCCAGCAAAGTGCGTAGAACAAGCTGAGCTCAGCTACATGTGTTGCATATGGAGTAGAGAAGGTGCGTCCCCAGGCGTGGCCACCATGGTGGAGGTGATGGGCGAGTGGCAGGATGGTGTTGGTGAGCGCGTGTTGACCGTTGGCAACTGTTCTGGTAACAATGAGGCTTCAGCTACGTGAAGGTGGTTGTGGAGCAGAGAGGCAGGTTGTGTCTACGTGCAGATGGTCTCAGGCTGCTGCAGCGTTCCCTCAGGGCCTCCTGAAAACCCCTGTGCCATGTGCTCCAAGTCATCTGTAGGTTTCTCCTGCTGCTCACATGGTCCCGGTTTGGGCGCTGTCAAAGCCAGTGTTGCTGCCTCTGCCTGCGCGTAGGGTGTGGGTTGTGTACCTGGACTGTGGTGGCCATCTCCTGTGTCCCCAACAGGCAGATGGGGTGCTGCAGCTGTGTCTGAGGACCCTCCATATCCGGTGTCCTGGTGGGAAGCGCTGTGGAGATGCATGTGCGGCGCTATGGGCAGCCCCACGGAGCTGCACGTTGGGTGACAAACCACATACCCAGGGCGATCTGCTTCAGGTTCTTCACAGGATTATTTTCGCATTAATTCATTTCCCTTGCTGCCCCGTGTAAGCCATTTACTGCATTTTTGAGATGAATGAGGCCAAGTCCAGAGTGAGAGAAAAATGTGAAGCTAGAGTATAGCCTGCAAAGTATTGGTGTTGGGCAAGATGTGTTAGTACTTGAGGTATGTAATCCATGGAGGGAAAACAATCCTGATCTATGTCAAAAACTTCTCACTGAGGTTAGCCGCATACAGGCAGTCCCTGTGCAACTTCTTGGCCCATATCTCCCAACTTAGGCATTGCAAACATGTTGGGTACAGTCCCAGCCCCGTGCGAGCTGATGGTGGAGCTTGCAGTGACTTCCATCAGGGCAGCTCTCCTCCAAGCACCGTCCGGTAAGGGAGCAGCGTGATCGCCCCAAGAGCCTCTGGGAGCTGAGAGGTTATGACAGCTTTTAGTGGCTCTGGAAATTAGAGTCACACACGTGTTTACTCTGAACTGAATCTGGATAAGCTGCTTTTATCAGCACATTGCCGTCTCTTCGTGGCTGGCCTGGGAAATCCCAGCCTCTCCAGACAAGGCTGCCTAGAGTGTGCCCTGCCTGTTCTCTGTACTGGGGTGTTGTATGTAGCTTCCACAAGATTAAGAAGGAGCTTCAGAGCTACTGTTCTGTGAATACTTCCTTCTCCCCCCCCCGTCCCCAAGCACTTGTGTGGAATCTGGTTTATTGTTGTTGGGGATTTCACTGCCTTTTTTTTTTTTTTTGTACGTGAAAGTCAAATAATGAACTTTATTGCTTGAAGCCAGATTTTTAATCAGTAGAAACAGAAGGGAAAATCTCATGTTATAAGGGAATAAATACATCTTAGTGCTTTAGGAATGAGCAAAAGTATTTTTCAACTGACCATATGTTTGCTTAAGAAAACAGCCGTGCAAACCAAGAAGAAAGGATTTGATGTACAGGCTGTAAAGTTGGCAGTATTAAAAGCTGTGGATGATTTGGCAGGTATAATGTTGTGTGTCGGCATGGCAATTTCATTGAAATAAAAACAAAGAAGTTACACGAAAGTTTTTTACAAGTTAGAACATACTTCCGCCTCTGAAGTGTTGAGGAGGTGCATTACAGGTAGCAGGCAAAGATCAGAAAACTCTGCCTTATTTTGTTTAGTGTCTTCTTCTGTCTTCATCACCTGGGTAGCCGAGTGCCCGCAGAGGAGCACCATAACTTCCCTGGCTGCGTGCTGTCAGTTATTGCTCATTTTCTTTCTCATGAGAGAAGCTGCTGAGATGCTGAAGATGCTGTTTGAACTTTTAAAAAATGTTGTGTTTGCTCAGAAGCTGAGCCTTTGTATGAGCCTATTCTCTCTTTTGTCACATTCTGTGGATAATTTAGCATCCTCTTCTAGTGGCATAGTAAAAGTTGATGTTTTATTGTGGGCAGTATGGGATGATACCAGTTTGTTACTATGTGTTAGTGGTTTAAAATCATTTTGGTTTTGAAGTCAGTGGCAAAACCCCTGTTGAAAGCAGCGGGTGTATCCCACTCAGGTTCTCCTTCACTGCTGTGCGATTTCCCCAAACGTCTGGAAATGAGAACTTTGGAGTTGGGAAGTAACCTGTGCCTTAGCTGAGGAATGTGGTCGTACCTTCCCGGGGCAGCTCCTGCCAGGCATGGGGTCTCCCTTCGCCCCCAGCAGCCTATGGCCTGGCTCTGCTCCCAGCTGGGAGGCCTGCCGAGGTGGAGAGCGGCTTCGCTGTTCCTCTGCCAGAGCAGTGACACCCAGCTGGCTGCTGCACAACAGTGGCACAGCGAGGGCTGTCGAGTGTCCAGCTCATTTCACACGAACTGCACGCAGAGAGGAAAACACCAAACGTTTTGAAATCTAACCCAAATCAGGGTTGTTGGACATTGTTGTCCTAGGCGTGCTGCATTGCGCAGCCCAGGCACACCGGGACTTTGGGGCTGGGCCTCGTCAGCGGGGTGAAGCAGCATGCAGAGCAAGGGAGGTGAGGGGGAGCCCGTGCAGGGAGGTAAGCAGGAGTTCACAGCAAATTAATTCCTGACGCAGAACATTGATCGTACGAGTCACAAGCTTGACATTTGTACCTTTTTTTTTTTTGTCTGAGCAGAGAGGGTAGGACAAGTGCCTGTAAAAGTTGTTACTCAGTTGTATTTTGCACAGTCTGGGATGTGATAGATATTGCTGTGGGCTGACACAAGCACCAGCACTTACGTTCAGATGCCCCAGCTGTTTGCACAGCGTCATGGACGGAGGAGAAGGTGGTGGCTGGGAAGCAGGGTTTGGTTTGTTTTCCGCCACAGACTTCGTGCAGAACCACAGGCAGATCATGTAGCTCTGCATCCTCAGCCCTGCCTAGATCGGGGGCACTTAGGGGGCACTGGAAGTCTCTTCCCCTAGGGTGGAGTGATTCCTGGTAAAAGGATCTGGGAAAAGCCTTTTGGCATCACTGCTTTGCCTGGCGTGCAGGTTGCCCTGGTGCAGCTGGCCTTGCGAGGAGAGCTGCGTGGCAGAGGGCTTCCTAGGGGTGGTGTGGGTCACTGCTGGTGGTACCTCCCCTCCTCCTTCTTCCTGGGATGCCCTGCATGGGATCCAGGTGCCAGCCCTGGCTGCAGGGACAGGAGACTGGGTGTTACTGCTGGTTCCCTGGTACAGGGTGTGCCCGAGGCAACACATCACTGTTTTTTACATCAACGTGAAGTTGCTCCCCCAAATAGCAGAGACTTACTTTAAAGTGCTGTTCAGCTGCCTCCCCAAGGATGCTGCACAGAGCGCTGGTCCATGGGCAGCAGCGTGAGCAAGCTCAGACCCTGAGGAGATCCAGAAGTTATCAGGCTGCAGGTGCAGGAGCCCGTCTCTGGCTCCGTTCAGTGTGTCTTCTCCTCCCTCTGCCTTTTCCCTCTCGGGGGGCTCAGCAGGTCTCCGCTTGGCCGGTGCAGCAGCGCCGTTGCAGCTCAGGACCGCTGAGCCAGGGTCAGTGTCTCTGCCGTCG